AGAGGAATGCTCAAATCTCCTTGGGATCAGCACTTAGCACCATGGTTAAGATGCCACATAGAGCACCCGTGTCCCAGCTGGAGCCTGGCTTCATGTCCCAGCTGTGTTTCTGATTCCAGCTCCCTACTGTTGTGCACCCCAGGAGGTGGTAGGTGATGGCTTAACTCCATCCACATGGAAAGCCCAGATAGGGATCCGGGTTCTTACTTCAGCTTGGCCTATCCCTGGCTATTGCAGGCACTGGGGAAGAGAACCAGTGGATAGAAGAGTTTTCTCTTTCTGTATTTCTCTCTTTCAAATACATAAAACCAAGATTAAGTACAAAGTAACTTTTAGAAATTAAGGGATGCAGTAACTAGCCATGTGTGGGAGGGAGGGAAAGCCTCCTAGAGGAGATGGCTCTGAACCAAGGGGAGGTCGAGCTGTGGGCAGAGGAGGGAAGGGAGTTTTTGGTGGGAAAAATGGATTGAAGGTGTGAACTGGTACAAAGCACATTCCAGAAACCCTTAGCTCCTTGGCAGGACCAGAGCACAGGGCTGCGATAGGAGAGGAGGGTGGCGGGGAGCCAGGGCTGATGCTGAGGCTTGTTGGGTCCTATTTCTCCTATAGGACACAATCCTGTTTCTCCCTGTAGCATGTGAGATGCCAGGGGGGGACACTCTGAGGGTCATGACCCAAAGATGAATTCGGGGTGCTCTGGCAGCCCGGGGGAGGTTAGGTTGGGAGTTGAGACTGGATATTAATGGTGGCATCCATCCATTTATTCTTAGCCCTTGTTGTTTCAGAAAAGACTGAGTGAAGTCAGTTAAGGTTCTACAGCGTTGCCCGTGTCCCTGGCTCATCCTGAGTTTTCACACTCTGTAAAGTGTGAGAGTCTCATGAGAATATAGGAGAAAGGAGGGAGCAGATTCAAAAAACAAAAGAAAGAAAACCTTTTTTATTTGTAAGGCAGAGTTAGAGAGAGAGAGATGAGAGAGAGAGAGAGAGATTAAGAGATTGTCCATGAGCTGGTTTACTCCCTGCATCACCACAATGGTCAGAGCTGGGCTGTTCCATAGCCAGGAACCAGGAATTTCCTTCATGTCTTTCTTGTGGGTTCAGAGCCCAAAGACTTGGGCCATCATCTGCTACCTTCCTTGTGCATTAGCAGGGAGTTGGATCAGAAGTGGAGCAGCCAATCAGACTTGTCCCAGATGATAGAGTTAGAAACGTGCCAGGGGATTCCAATTAAATCCCATCAAGGTGGCACGTATCATGCCATCTCACTAGTCCAAGTGATCAATTTCAGTTCACAATTGATCATAATAATAGGACTAAGAGTCAAAGGGATCACATAAATAAGACCAATGTCCGCAAATACTAACTGATATAATAAAAAAGGGAGAGAATGATCCAACATGGGAAGCAGGATACACAGAAGACTCATAGAATGGCAGATGTCCTAAATAGCACTCTGGCCTCAGAATCAGCCCTTAAGGCATTTGGATCTGGCTAAAAAGCCCATGAGAGTTTCTCAGGCATGGAAAGCCAAGACACTGTGGCAAAAAATGACCTAAATGAAAGATCTCTGTGAGTGAGATCCCAGTGGAAAGAATGGGCCATCAAAGAAGGAGTTACCTTTCTCTGAAGGGAGGAGGGAACTTCCACTTTGACTATGACCCTGTCTAAAGATCAGAGTAGGCAAACTCAAAAGGCTTCCATAGCCTTGGCAACTCATGACAAGAGCCTAGGGTGATTACTGACGCCATAAACAAGAGTGTCAATTTGTTAAGTCAACAACAGGAGTCACTGTACTTACTCCTCATGTAGGATCTCTGTCCTTAATGTGTTGTACATTGTAAATTAATGCTATAACTAGTACTCAAACAGTATTTTACACTTTGTGTTTCTGTGTGGGTGCAAACTGTTGAAATCTTTACTTAATATATGCTAAATTGATCTTCTGTATATAAAGATAATTGAATTTGAATCTTGATGTGAATGGAATGGGAGAGGGAGCGGGAGAGGGGAGGGTTGCGGGTGGGAGGGAAGTTATGGGGGGGAAAGCCATTGTAATCTATAAGCTTTACTTTGGAAATTTATATTTATTAAATAAAAGTTAAAAAAAGAAGTGGAGCAGCAGGTTCTTGAACTGACACTCATAAGGGATGTCAGTTTTGCAGGTGGCATCTTTACCCACTATTCCACACTGCTGGGCTCCTCAATGTGATATTTTTATAAAGCTCAAAAAATAAAAGAAACAATATTTTATTCATGAGATAAGACTTCTTTATCCAACACTGTGTAGGTAAATACAGAATTCAAGAATGGTTCATGTGGGGAAGAATCAGGGCTTGTGTGATGGAGAGAACAACAAAGATGGATGCAGATTGCTGGACCTACAGATTCCTAACTGAGTGATGTCTCCATGAGCTTTCATATATAACACAATGTTTTATGACTTGTATGCATCTTACACAGAATCTTTTGCTTGTAATAATTCTTCTACTGTACTAACATATAGATAGGAAGCAATCTGAACATTCATAGTAACTTCAATTTTTAAAAATAAAATAGAACCATTGACAAGAGACTAGAAGAGGCTGGCGTTGTGATTCAGCAAGTTAAGCCACCACCTGTAAGGCCGGCATCCCATATTCATGGGCACTGTTCTAGTCCCAGCTGTACTACTTCTGATCCAGCTCCCTACTAATGGCAGTGGAGGATGGCCCAAGTACTTGGGACCCTGCACCTGCATGGGAGACCCGCTCCTGGCTCCTGGTTTCTGCCTGGCCCAGCCATGGTCCTTGCGGTCTAGGGAGTGAACCAGTGGATGGCAGATCTCTGTCTCTCTCTGTCTCTCTGCCTCTTTATCTCTCTAACTCTGCCTTTCAAAAAATATATTAATTTTTTTTCTTTTGATATTTGAAGTCTTTTCTTGAAGTTCCTTTTCTCCCCTTCACTTTGCTTTGTTTTCGTGTCTGTCTTCCATATTGGAAATGCTCATCCCCTGCCTGGTGGTCTCTGGCTAGCCTTTCATATTCACAATGAGCCCACTAGCAGGAGACTGAAGAAAGGTTGGCATGAGCAGAGCTGGAGGATGTGTAGGTCTCCCGCAGGATGATCAGTTCAGCTACTGTCTAAGATCCTTGAGTGCCGGTCTGGGGAGATGGCCTGGGGCGGTCTGTCATGGGCTGTGGAGTTCCTCAAATGACCTTCTTGGCTTCTCTCTAAGGAGGTTGAGGCTGGAGTTCTGGGGTGGACAGGGGAGAGGACGGGAGTGGGATGCGGTTTGCCCTCTGGCCACTCTCCAGTTTGCCTTCATTTTGAGTGGGACCACTCAGCTCATTCCTGTAACCTGCCAGCAGCTGCTCCTGGCTGTTGAGTTCATGACCCTGGTTCAGGACAGAATTTTCTCGAGGAGAGTTTGTTTATTTGTTTGTTTGTTTTTTCCCTCAGCTATCAGGAGCTCACACCCACGTGGAGATGCTGTTGAGTGCTATTCCCAGTCCTCTTTCTGTGGGTTGAGAAAGCCAGACACTCACTTTTCCATTTCCTGTTGCAGACTAGGGTGACCCTATGACCCAGTTCTGGCCAACCAGGTTAGATAAGAATAATTCTGATATCATGCTTCCAGGAAAACATTGTCCTCAGCTTAAAAAAAAAAGATATGGTGCCTGGAGCCTTGGCAGTCATATTGTTATAGAGATGAAAGGCAAGGAATTGCAGGGTAGTCAACGTAGAGCCTTGAAATGTTTGAGCTGCTCACTCAACCAGCTCTGAAATTGCTCCTCCTCTAGTCTTCTATTTATGTGAGATGATGTCTTCATTACATAAGCACTAGTCATTTGGTTATTCTGATACTTGCAGCCAAAAGCATTCTATGTACAAATATTTCAAAGGAGATAATTGTTTTCTGAAATATTCACAGCTGCAGTGGACCTGTACCGAGGGTGAGCACAGCATTATAAGAGGGATGTGGTTACATAAGGATGAATATAGATGAGATAACCAGGAGGAGAGATTGAGAAGCTTCTGACAGTGGGTATAGTTGAAGGAATGCAGATGTCGCATCTAGAGAAGAGATGAATTGGGTGACATGAAGAGCGTCATCAGATATTTAATGAGGAAGAGGAGAAAGCTGTTCTGAGGGGCCACACAGGACAAATAAAACACAAAATCCATTTCTCCCTCCTTTCATTTTCAAAGGCTGGCTGTAATATGGGAAAATGTGTGAAAAAGAAACAGAAGAAGACATGGAGAAAGGCTCAGAGCTTTGAGCTGTCACGATGGCTTGGAGAAGAACCACGTAGGGCCTGCCACTTATTTCTTGGGTGGTAGGATTGCTGGGAGGGAAGGTGAACAGAAAACTCCTGTGTTATCTCAACTTTCGCCAATGTTAATGATTGCCTGGGACTTTTACAAAGTGAGACATTCCCTAAGAGAGATGAGGGAATAAATGTGCCGAAAGAAATAAAAAATAGATCCTGAAGTTGACATTAGGCGGTAGTGGAAATGCCTATGTCAGGAGCTAGTCAGGTGCTGGGAGGATTTGAAGATGAACAATGCATGGCCCCTGCTTTCAGGTAGCTCTCTTTCTGGTGTGGAAGCCAAAGAGAAGGCAGAAGCAGCACACATGACGTGGGAGCCCTGGAACTCATTGCCCTAGCTTTCGAAATCCAACGGGCACGACCCTGTCCTCTCTGGCTGGGATCCCCAACCATTTATACCATCCTCTCGATGGTACCATGCAAATCACAGGAAGCTTGGTTGGGTTATGCCTTCGTCCTTTTGTACTTCTGTAACAAAAGCCTGGAGTTGGCCAACGCCGCGGCTCAATAGGCTAATCCTCCACCTGCGGCGCCGGCACACCGGGTTCTAGTCCCAGTCGGGGCGCCGGATTCCATCCCAGTTGCCCCTCTTCCAGGCCAGCTCTCTGCTGTGGCCCGCGAGTGCAGTGGAGGATGGCCCAAGTCCTTGGGCCCTGCACCCGCATGGGAGACCAGGAGGAAGCACCTGGCTCCTGCCATCAGATCAGTGCGGTGCGCCAACCGCAGCGCGCCGGCCGGAGTGGCCATTGGAGGGTGAACCAACGGTAAAGGAAGACCTTTCTGTCTGTCTCTCTCTCACTGTCCACTCTGCCTGTTGAAAAAACAAACAAAAAAACCAAAAGCCTGGAGTTCGATAATGTACAAATAATAGGAGTTTATCTTGTCATAGATCTGGATGTAAGAAGTCCAAGATCAAGACCGCAGCAGGTCTGCTTGTCTGGTGGGGGCTGCCGTGTGTTTCCGCCATGACACCTGCAGCAGGGCTCTCCGGAGGGGTAGTGCTCTGTGTGAAGCCGCCTCAAGCAGGTGGCGCCCTCATGGGCTAAGCACTTCTTAAAGACCTCCCTGTTAGTACTAGCACAGTGGCATTGTCTTACACCATTTTACTGCCTTAACAGCATACTTGAAGACTGGAAAAATCATAATGTAAGTAAATGTATGTCTCATGTTTCTCAGAGCTGGGAAGCCCATATTGAAGGTGCCAGAACTGTCTGGCAGGAGACAGGAAGCTTGTCAGCTCAGATCTCCCGACCTGCTCTTCTAAAGCCGTTAATCCCATTATGACAGCCACAGCTCCATGATCTCTTCTTCTTCTTCTTTTTCAAGATTGATTGATTGATTTGAAAGTCAGAGTTACACAGAGAGGAGAGGCAGAGAGAGAGAGAGAGAGAGAGAGAGAGAGAGAGAGGTCTTCCATCTGCTGGTACACAATTGGCTGCAACGGCCAGAGCTGTGCTGATCTGAAGCCAGGAGCCAGGAGCTTCCTCCAGGTCTCTCACATGCGTACAGGGGCCTAAGGATTTGGGCCATCTTCTACTGCTTTCCCAGGCCATAGCAGAGAGCTGGATCGGAAGAGGGACTGCTGGGACTCCAATCAGCATACATATGGGATGCTCTCACTGCAGGAGGCAGAGACAGCTTTACCTGCTATACCACAGCTCTGGCCCCTAAACTATATACTTTTATAAAATTTATTTAATTAATTTTTTATTTGAAAAGAACAGAATAAATTTTGGAGAGAGAGAGAGAGAGAGAGAGAGAGAGAGAGAGAGAGAGAACTTCTTTCACTTCATAAATGGCTACAACAGCTGTGGATGGGCCAAGCCAAAGAAAGGAGCCTGGAATTCCATTTTGGTCTCCCATAAGGGGCCATGTTCTTGGGCCATCCTCTACTTCCTTCCCAGGCACATTAGCGGAAAGCTGTATTGGAAACAGTATATCTAAGACTCAACCCAGTGCTCCAATACAAATGCTGGAGTCACAAGTGGTAGCTATGTCCACTGACCACAACAATGGTCCCTAAAGCCAAATTATTTTTAAAAAATATTTATTTTATTCATTTGAAAGAGTTTAGAAAGAGGTAGAGACAAAAAGAGAAAGAGGTCTTCCATCCACTGGTTCACTCCCCAAATGGCCACAGTAGCTGGAACTGAGCCAATCCGAAGCCAGGAGCCAGGAGCTTCTTCCTTGTCTGCCATGTGGGTGCAGGGGCCCAAGGATTTGGGCCACCCTCTGCTGCTTTCCCAGGCACACTAACAGGGAGCTGGATCAGAAGGAGAGCAGCTGGTACTCAAACTGGCACCTATATGGGATGTCGGCATTGCAGCCAGAGCTTTAACCTGATGTGCTACAACACTGGTCCCTAAATCAACTTATTAAAAGTTCACTCCTTGTGGCACATCACTAGGCTCTTTCCTAATCTCCTCATGGCTGCCTGCATCTCCTGGTTTCTCAGGGTGTAGATCATGGGGTTGAGCATGGGGGTCAATACCGTGTAGCTGACAGACACAGCCTTGTCCAAAGGGAAGGGCGTGAAGGGCCGTGAGTAGATATAGATACAGGGGATGAAGATCATAGACACCACGATGATGTGTGTGGTGCAGGTGGAAGCTGCCTTCCTCCGTGCTTGCCCCGAGTGGGAGCGCAGCATCACCAGGATGGCGGCGTAGGAGGTCAGGAGGAGGAGGAACCAGATGAGCACCAGCATCCCACTGTTGGAGATCATGAGGAACTCCAGGAGGGCAGTGTCCGTGCAGGCCAGTCTCAGCACTTGGGGGACGTCACAGTAGAAGTTGTCCAGGATGTTGGGGCCACAATAAGGCAAGGGGAGCATCAGAGACAGCTGGACAATGGAGTGGACAAAGCCCCCTACCCAGGCAGCCACCACCAGTGTCACACACAGGCGAGTGTTCATGATGGTGACATAGTGGAGGGGCCGGGAGATGGCTATGTAGCGGTCATAAGCCATCACTGAGAGAAAGAAGACAGTCCCGCCTCCCAAGAGGTGGAAGAAGAAGATTTGGGCCATGCAGCCCTGGTAGGAGATGGTCTTGGTCTCACGAAAGAAGTCTGCCAGCATCTTTGGGCAGGTGACTGTGGAATAGCAGAAGTCTATGACAGCCAGGTTGCGGAGAAGAAAATACATGGGCATGTTGAGTCGGGGGTCCAAAGTTACTGTGACCATGATAAGAAGATTTCCCACCACCGTGGTGACGTAAACCAATAAGAACAGCATGAACAGGAGTTTCTGGAGCCCTTGATTATGTGTGAACCCTAAGAGGATAAACTCGGACACTTGTGTGAGGTTCTGGATCTCCATGAGTTCTTCCCCTCATGCCTAGAGAGAAAACCAGGCAAAACAAAGTCACAGAGATGCAATCATTTTCTCTTGGAGGATCAGGATTGAGTTGATCAATGTCACTTTTGGGTACTATTCAAAGAGGTAACTGCGAAGCCTCCAATGAGGATATATGTTTTCAAACTCCCATAGACTTACCTCTCTAACCACAGCCTATGTCACATTACTGACATTTATGAGTATGACTTCTTCCCTTCGCACCATGCTGTCCTTGTCCACGGGTTTCATATTTCTTTTCACACCTGCTGTGCCCAATATGATGACTTATGAACCAGAGGCTCCATAAATCTAGTCTATGAATCTAACAAATGAATGAATGAATGAATAAAAAAAAGGATATGTCAGCAAGTACCTCTGACCACAGACATAACCTGCCTGGTGCATAAATTTTAGGAGGTGTAAAGGCAAGACTATCAGCAGAAGTTTGAGAGGCCACAAATGGTTCCCTGTTAAAAGAGAAGTGTGTGTAGAAAAACTGTCATCACAAAGTCAGAAGAAAAGCAAGCAGATGGTCTTGGCTGTAGCAAAGCTGGGTGGTTAGTTGTGTTCTCAAACTTTTCTGCGTAAATACTTCTGCAACATCATATGTTGTCATGGGCCATCTGCAGGGATAACTCAAAGAAGCTCCGGACAAATGCAGCATTTCCTAGAACTCTCCTCTTTAACATTTAAAATTTCATATGAATTTTCTATTATATCCCTAAATAATCTTTTTGAAGATTTTTAAAATTTAAGTATTGTTGAGTAAGATTTTGGCTGGCAAGATGATGATCGTGTAGAAAGTAGAGGATGTGGAGAGATGTGAAGTCCACTATACCTCTCTCTCTACTTCATGGGTGTGTGAATGTTTCCATGAGAAAACATAAAGAAGAAAAGTCTCAGATATACTCTAGTTTTGATCCTGATGTGTTTGTGTTATTTGTGTATTTTTCTTTGCATAAATTGTGATAAAAGGAAGGAATTTGAAAATAAAATAACACATGAAGGAATTATATCATGTAGAACACAGGCAAGTTATTTTTTAATTCTCATTGCTGTGTATAAAATTTGTTTGTAACATGCCAGATACAAAATCCTACAAAAAATTATTCAGAAATGAAAAAGCCTATGACCATGACCTAACACGCCACTCCCAGGTGCAGGCAGCACTCCCGCTGCTGTCAGTGATTTACCTGGAAGTCTCAGCCTTTCCTGAGAGCCAATTGTGACTGTGAGAAATTGAGAGGCACCAAGCCCTGGTGGAAGAGGATGCCACCGAACTTCTAGAATGTTGAATGATTCAAAATTTCTCCCCAAAAAGTGTTCATTGCTTTTTATTATCTGTGGAAAAATAATTCAAATTTATTTCTAGAATTCATCAATCATCTAATAAAATTAAAATATAATAAGGGTAAATTTGCTTTTTAAATGATCACATTGACAAACTTTTTTTAAGACTTATAATACTCAGCACTATTGAGAGTTTAGGAAAATAGGTAAATCTAAAAACTGATTTGAAAATATGAGCAAATCCTTGAATTATACTGTCTGACCCAACATCTTCTTTTAGGTATTTAAGGAAATAAAGACTAGTTTTTAAAATTTATGTTCAAGAATATCCAACACAGCATTATCATAATATTGACAAACCAGAAGTGATATAGATGTACAACTATAAGATATTACTTAAATAAAATATAGTACCTCCATGTAATGAAATACTAGTTAGTAATAAAATACATATCCTAGTGATTAACTGTATTTTTTTTTTGACAGGCAGAGTGGACAGTGAGAGAGAGACAGAGAGAAAGGTCTTCCTTTGCCGTTGGTTCACCCTCCAATGGCCGCCGCGGCCGGCGCACTGCGCTGATGCGATGGCAGGAGCCAGGTACTTATCCTGGTCTCCCATGGGGTGCAGGGCCCAAGCACCTGGGCCATCCTCCACTGCCTTCCCGGGCCACAGCAGAGAGCTGGCCTGGAAGAGGGGCAACCAGGACAGAATCCAGCACCCCGACCGGGACTAGAACCCGGTGTGCCGGCGCCGCAAGGCGGAGGATTAGCCTAGTGAGCCACAGCACCAGCACTGTATTGGGTTTTATCTTACCATGTAGTGTTATTGTTTCATAGAGTTAAAAAATGTTTTTAAATATGTTATAAAGGCCAAGGAAAAAGATGGAAATGAAAGATCAAAGTGTCAAGACAGTTACTGGCAGTGGTTATAGCTGGTTGGTGAGATTGTTAGATATATTTTTCCTCCTTTACAAATTTTACTTCTCATATTTTACAAATAGTCAAAATTTTTAGTTTAAAAAGGCAAAAGAAATATTACCATGAGACCAACAAAGGAAAAAAGAGAAGAGCTGGAAAACTCAGTGCTGCACAGCAGTGCTGTCAAGGGCTCGAGACAACATCAGGTGTGTTGAGGAAGACGTCTGGGAAGGAGAAACCTCAGAACTCTGAGGAGGAGAGAGATGCAAGTGTGGGAAGAGGGAGTGCTCCCTTGTGAACAAGAGGAGAGGAGATGTCCATTCCCAGGACCACTGCAGATCCACCTGCCTCCTCCCCTCTTTCACAGTGCCCAGCATCATTTACATGGTCAGTCAACAACCATGGGCTTCTCCTCCACATCCCTGCTCTACCTGGCACCATAAGCTGCGGTCCATACTATTCCATAATCACTCTGGCACCTTCTTAACTCTGAACTGGCTCTCCAATTTCTGTTTATTGTCTCCTCACCTGGCTGGACTTCTTCACAACATGGATTGTCACCAAGGCATATTCGTTCTTCCTTTGAAATTAACCAAATTGTTCCTCCTGGCTGAGTTATTACCATGGGTTTTCAAGAGGGTTTATGCCTCCAGGTTCTGCTGCATTTTATCCACCCTGCAACATAGCACACACCTTCACTTCCTAGAAGACATCATCTGCCTCTAGTTCAAAACATTTTCCGGGGCCGGCGCTATTGCGTAGCAGGTAAAGCCGCTGCCTGCAGTGCCGTCATCCCATATGGGTGCCGGTTCGAGTCCTGGATGCTCCACTTCCCATCTGGCTCTCTGCTATAGCCTGGGAAAGCAGTAGAAGATGGCCCAAGTCCTTGGGCCCCTGCACCCATGTGGGATACCCAGAAGAAGCTCTTGGCTCCTGGCTTTGGATGGGCACAACTCCAGCTGTTGTGTGGCCATCTGGGGAGTGAACCAGTGGATGGGAGACTTCTCTCTTTCTCTCTCTCTCTGTTTTCCTCTCTGTCTCTCTCTGCCTTTGCCTCTCTGTAACTCTGCCTTTCAAATAAATAAATAAATCCTTTAAAAAGCATTTTCCATGCTTCATTATTGGCAGAAAAGAATATACATTTAGATGGGCTTCCACACAAACTGGCTCCTACCTTTGCAGACCCGTCTGCTACTTAGGAGTGATCATTTCGGATTTTAATAGTATTAAATATCACTATCCCATTAAATGTTTGCATTTTTACTAGGTGCGAGGCACTGTGCTAAACACTTTAATTCTCATGTTATTCACATGCTTCTAAAATACTGTACTATGAATTTTCCCCACCGTGTAGCCAAGTAAAACAGACTTCACCTTAAAGAAGTGAAGTCATTTGCTTCAGATCACACAGAGAATGAGCAGCAGAGCTGGAATTCCACCAGGTCTGATTCCAGAATCTGATCTCTAAGAACTCTTGGCTTCAACCTTGCTTCCTCAGGTCTCAGTGCCTTTCTTCTGCTAACTGCCCCCACCTAGATTGCCCTTCTGTCCTGTTTAGAATTCTAACCATCCCTTTTTCAAGGTTCAGTAATAATTAGCTCTTGCCATGCATTGGTATTTTCCCACCATGACAGCCCGATACATTGAGTACTACACAGTCTTGCTCATAGATGCCTGGTTGCTTGATCATGGATGGAGGGCCGGAATGGGACAGACCGCTGTGTGAGTAGCCATTGGATGAAGGAGCACAGTTTGAGGACCGTTGAAGGGAATCCAAGAATACTAATTCCTAGAATCACCAGATGTACAAACTTAGAGGCATCATCTTAGTGTGGACACCTTTCTTTCCACCAACCTTTCTTAGCATGGGCATCTTTCTTTCCAAACCTTGCTTGGAAGTGCTTCTTCTACCTACATGCATACAGAATAGATAGTAGGTAATCTAGACAGGAAAGAAAATAAAGAGATATAAGGAAGGGCATAAATATGTAGGGGGGAAATGGGTGGATTCCAGACCCCTTTCTGTTACTCAATCTTGTCTCCCATCTGTTTTTGCTCCTGGCAAATTAGTCCACACAGGATTAATACATACATATATGTATATGTATATATACATAGATAGATAGATAGATAGATAGATAGATAGATAGATAGATTTTGGCAAGGCCAAGGCAACTTTGGCTGGCTGACAAGGTCACAGCGAGGTGTGAGAAGGACAGCTGTGGTCCTCTTGGTGGTTTTAGGTTTGTTGGGAACTACACTCTGCATAAGAAAGCCAGAGCTTCGTGGTGGTCCTGCTGATGATTGCTGCATTCCTAATTTTAGGGAAGAACGCTTAGTCTCATAATCCCCAAAATGTCCATTGCCTTGTAGAATTTTAGTCAAGCAGAATGCTAGTGTAGGAGAAGGCGTGATGCTTTATGCAAGGTTGAGCTGTTTATGGAAAAGAATTAAAAGGCAACAGGCTCCCTGGTATATACTTCCCACTAGAATAAAGATAAATGTTATTAAAGCTTTAATTCGATATATGCTACAAATACAATCCTAACAATGGTTAGGATATCAAAACTGTAGAATAGATCTAGTGAACATTTAAATAAGTACAATAAAGAAATTAGAATTACAGAAAGAACTGCAAAGAGGGGATACATTTTAAAAAGGGCCTGCTTTAAACATTGGGGCTTCTCGTAAAGATTAGCTTAGGAAGGAAATATTCTAGCTTGTGTAGCCAATTTCTGCATAGCTCGACCACACTCCAGGCCTTGGCTTGTGTGGAAAGCCCGTGATCTAGCACCTGTGATTGTAACCCATGCTCTGAATATGCCCTTGAAAATCAAAGAAATTGTAATTTAAAAAAATGGACAACAGACTTGTTATTGTGAGAAAAAAGAATCATTATCTGACTTATGATATGAAAATAAATTCTGGTGCTCGAGAACCAGAGCCATGCCATCAGCCTTGCTGTGAGTGTGTCTCTCATTTCTTCGAGTGCTGACACCTCTCACACCTTGGGGCCCCTGGACTGGCTGGAGCTGGTCTCCGGCAATATTTCTTATTTTGAATTGTGTCAAAAGTTGAAAGCTAAAAAAGAGGGGAGGAGAAAAGGAGTAAGTGGGTTCCAAAAAATTAGAGTGAATTTAATAGGTCATCCTGGGAGCAGTAGAAGGTTTCTATTGAACACAGGATTAAGAAATGGAAGGATATGGAGGAGGGATAGCAACAGAGAGGGAATGGAGATTTAGAGTCTGAGAAACAGTAGACAGGAGAGAGAAAGGCAGAGGAAGAGAAGGGGACTAAAAAGGAACACTGGAGGTGGGAAGTGTGAGAGTAAGACCTGGTTGTATTTTCTCCTAGGTATAGGACGAAGCTGCAGTATGTGTGTGGGAGGTAGGGGAGAGAACAGTGTGTGACTATATTCTGCTCTCCCTCCCACCTCTGTCCTAAATTCCACCCAACACAAAAGCCAGCACAGACAAAAGGCTTTGGTCTGGATGAAGCCAACTGCTCGCCAGATCCCATTCCTATAGCATGCTTGCTCTGCGACTTCCCTATACCTTTCCTCCACCCCATGCTTGTCTCACAATTGGCTTTGACAGGAACCTTCTCAGTGTTGACTGTGGGGGGACACGGAGGCCAACACATACCTCTAGGCCAAGGTGGTCAAGGAGACTTAGAGGCCCCCATCTTCCAGGCCACCTTTCTCTTGCAGCTCTACTTTTCTGCTGGCCTCTCTCAGACCAGGAATACATATAGGATTGGCCTTCAGAGAAAGGACATTCCCCCAGGGGATTAAACTTGTTTAATTTTTGAAATGAAGCTGGGCTCAGGCTGTTGAGGGCACAGGAGCAATGGGAGTTATTAAAAAGTCTGTGAACTGTTGCATCAGATCCACATAATCGTTGAGACTGTCCTGGGGCCAACAC